CTTCCCTTTAAAGTCTCGAAGGCCAGGGTCAGGAATATCAAACCAAGCTGATGAGGTCAAATCTAACTAGAAGCGTTATTATAAATTACTCTACTACTGTTCCTATTTTTATTTTCAAATAAATTTTACAATCTGAACGGACTGAACTAGACTGAACTAGCGAGGTCTGAACAGCTCTAACAGAATTGCGGGAAGCCTCTTAGCAGGGTGCTCCTTTTCTTGAAGAGCATTTGTTTCTCATACTGATGTTGTTGTTCTTGTTGTTGTTGTTCCAGTCTGGTCTTCTGCTTGATCTCTCATGTCACATGTGTATTTAAAAACTCATTTAAAATAGAAAAAAATATCTATTCGCTTAAGTATTGTTGCTTGAATAACTCTTTAAAATGCGTTTCACGCTTACTTTATTGAGAAGGTGGAACCGACCACCACCCACTCCCCCCGAATACCAGATTGCCGAAACGACGAAAAAGTATGCTAACCTTCCAGAAAAATACATGGAAGATACAAAAAAATTGGTAAGAATAAATTTTTTAATTATTTTGATTTAAAAAAACAAACAAACACCGAAACATAAATAGAGAATTTAATACCTCAGAGTTATGTCAGCTGCTTTTATAACCATAATCCATTGTGTACTTTTAAGATCAGTAACAATAATGCTGTATTTGTGTCGTAGGTTTATTATCGTACACCCAGGGGCATAAACTACAGACCCAAGAAACTAAATCTTTTTCAAAACTACATTGGAGTTGCTAGGCCTTGGTCAGCAGAATCTCCTCAGGAAATTTCAGAAGCAGATGGATTTGTTCCATACGTTGAACCTCTGCGTGACTGGTTTTTCTTCCGAGGAGACCGAGTAAGATTAGCTGTGAAAAAATCATGATAAGTATCCTTCATTTACCTTTTTATCCATGATACTTTACCTTTCCCATCCTAGGTTCAAATTTTAACAGGAAAGGACAAGGGTAAACAAGGAATCATTGATATGGTGATTCAAGAGAGAAATTGGGTTATAATTAGAGGCTTAAATACAGAGATTGTTCCTCAAAAAGATGACGACGATGCTATCATTGGCTATTCTTCAACAGAGAGGCCACTACTTGTCAATACTCAAGTATCTCTTGTTGACCCAGGAGATTTGTAAGTTCAAAGAACATAATGGTAGATCTGTTTCAAAACTCTGGTGTGACTATGCTCTATCTTTTTGACAGGTTACCGACTGAGGTAGAATGGTCATGGACAGAGGAAGGAGAAAAGGTGCGAGTTTCCAAGAGAACAGGCCGTATCATACCTATGAGCAGAAGAAATGAAGAAACATTCCAGTACCAAAGCAAAGAGACATACGCTGGTAAGAATAAAATAGATAAAATTATGAATTATATACAAATGTGTGTGCATTTCTTTGTCACTTGTCCTGCAATATTCTTTTAAAGTTAATTGTGTCTTACCCATCAACATTTTCTCTGATTCACAGAAAATGCAAAAGATACGAGAAAAGAGGATATGCAGATAACTTTTGCACCAAAGTTAATGACATTTGAAATGGAAATTGCTCAAGAATTAGGAATTGAAGATGATAGAATCCCAAAGAAGACCTATTGGTACTGAAGTCATATTTCTTCTCATTGTCTCTTATTGATGATGGTTTGGAACATGTTGTGTACCGTGTAAATAAATTAAAGTACTTTATCTTTGTGACGTGTAAGTTACAGTTACAACATGTATAAATTTGATACTGGATAGTAACAAGCCCCGATGTAATGATAATATCATAAATAAATATAAAATAAACATAATAATGTCAGAAACACTTCTTTTTTTTAAAAAAATATTTTAAATTTGCCCGGCATCTCACCGCCTTTTACTAATTATACATTGCCGGCGCGAGAACCACACGTGTCAAATGTTTCGTGTTTAGATTTTTGAGCAATACGATACGAAGTGTCAGCAAGTCGGTCAGCTGGACGCTGCAGTCCGTCTCAAAGAACGCCGAAAACATGTTTTGGAGCGTAGTTTTGCTTATATCATGTGTCAAACTTCTACTGATTCCGGCCTAGTAAGTATATGTTTTTTAAACACAATTGTCGGTCACGTCTGCAGTTTTGTTCGTCACATCTATTTTTCTTCCACAATTCTTTCGATGAACTGGTAATCTTTCTCCACTTAATTTATTGCTCATCTTAAATTATGTCATTTCATCCTTCACAGAAAATTTACGAAGTTTGAACTTGCAATAGGTTATGTTTTGTCATATGATCTATTAGATTAGGGTTGTTTACCTTGTCAACATTACCTCAGATGAGCATCAGTCAGGTCATTTTCTTACCTTCTTTGCTTTGTCACTTCCAGTAACCATCTATCTATTACATCTTAAGTATCATAAGATTGATCTTGGCCATGATAGAGTTCAAACTTTCTGAAGTTTTCTGAATTTAAGAGGCAACTTTTGTTTTGTTTCCTTTCAGCCGATCAACAGATTTTGAGGTGCATCGCAATTGGTTAGCTGTAACTCATAGTTTACCAATCAAGAAATGGTATACAGAAGAAACTTCAGAATGGACATTAGACTACCCTCCCCTGTTTGCTTGGTTTGAGTACTTTTTGTCATTAATAGCTCAGTTCTTTGATCCAAAAATGCTCATTGTTACGAATCTTAATTACGCTTCACCTGAAACAGTACTGTTTCAAAGGCTCTCAGTAATCTTTGCTGATTTGATGTTTGCATATGGCACTAAAGAGTAAGTTTATTTCAACCTTTTAGCAAGTCTCTTTTGATGGCAATTTTATTCTCATGATATATTTTAAAATTTCAGGTGTTGTAAATATGTGGCCAATAGCGGCCTGCGTAAAAGTTCAAGGTGGAATTGTCGATGGAGCTCACCATCGGCAATGCTTCAGTTGCTATTACTTGGAAATGCAGGACTGCTGATAGTCGATCATATACATTTTCAATACAATGGTTTTTTGTATGGGATTCAACTCCTTTCAATTGCTAAGATACTTCAGGTATTTTAACATTTGCCCTTGTTTTTTTTTTCATTAAATGTATGTAGTGTTTTGGTTTAACTATGGTATGTCATTGTGTTTTTATTCCACTTTTTTTTGTCCCCAGGGGTCTTATGTTTCTGGAGCATTTTGGTTTGCCATTCTTCTGAATCTGAAACACATATATGCTTATGTTGCACCAGCATATTTTGTTTACCTACTTCGGAATTACTGTTTCCCTCAAGCCCCATCAAATGCATCATTAAAAGATCTGCATAGTCATTTTTCAATGAAAAGATTCACAGAGCTTGCTTCTACTGTGCTTGGTGTTTTTATTGTATCATTCGGACCTTTTCTGGTAATGAATGAGATAGGAAATGTACTTAATCGTCTTTTCCCCTTTAAAAGGGGTCTATCTCATGCCTATTGGGCACCAAATTTTTGGGCTTTGTATAATACAGCAGATAAATTCGTCTCTTTGACAGGTAAAGTTGAACTACAATCCTGTTTCTGTACTGCAATGTTGTTTGTAGAAAAGTGCAATTCTGATTATCGGTGCCCATAGGGCAGTTAGTTCGTCAGGATTATTTCAATTAAATTAAGTTCGTAATATTTTTAGCCCACCAATACAATTTACTCAAGAGATCAACTGGTGCATCGATGACGGGCGGATTGGTCCAGGAATTTGAACACACTCTTCTGCCTTCTATATCACCACGAACTACTTTCTTGCTGACTTTGGTTTCAATAACTGTAAGTAATTGATTTTTGGAATTTCCAGGGGTAATCTTTACTTCTCCATTTTTATACCAATGAGTGATTTGCTCTTTTTTAATTCTATTCAATGGTTTTCCAGCCCGCACTGATGAAATTGTGGTTTAGTCCTGGTAACCCATTGCATTTTGTCAGATGCCTTGTGCTGTGTGCCTGTGGTTCATTTATGTTCGGATGGCATGTCCATGAGAAAGCTATCCTCATGATAATAATTCCATTAACGTAAGATTATCATTCAATTTTTCACATTTTAATGTCTCTGACCTCAATTTAACTATAGAACCATCTTATTTCAGGGTTTTGGCTGTTGTTTGGCGACGAGAGGCTCAAATTTATCTACTTTTGTCAACAGTTGGGCATTACTCACTTTTTCCTCTTCTATTTACTTCATTTGAGCTGCCCATCAAAGTTTTACTGCTCTTAACACATGCAGTGTATGCATTTCTGAACTTGTCACATTTGTTTGCTTTGGGTAAGCCTGCATCTACATGGACATTACCACTTTTAAATAGGGTAGAGTCTGTATATCTAGTCGGTCTCCTTCCTTTGTTTCTATTTGAGCACGTCTTACATCCATATCTTGGACTCAATAAGAGACTACCTTTCTTACCTTTAATGATGACTTCAGGGTATTGTGCTGTTGGTGTGTTGTATTGCTTTCTTCAATACTACTGGCATTTCATGCAAATGTCAGGGTCAAATCATAAACGCAAAACACATTAAAATAGTTAGATTTTAAGCAGGTGATGTCTCTTGTTGTCCCTGTGACTGGATCTCAGAAAGTGCTTTTTTACTAAATCTTAAGCTTTGTTTTGTGCCAAAAAAATGTTCTCTACCCTTGTACACTTTTCTTTTGACCTACCTTGCTTCTTGGTGAGGTGTGTAAAGACTTACAATTAGGTGAAGAGAAGGATGAACCTTTTGCTCCATGTTGGAGCTTATTTGTTTGTATATATGTATATCTACAGAAATGACACTTTCTGCTTAAACTGAATACACTGAATTTTTATATTTTTAAAAACCTTAAAGATGTTTTCAAGTGTACCAACCAAGAATTTGATTGACAGGCATTTCAACAGATCAGTTAATGTATTTTTTTTCTGCATTCTGACCTATTCTCCAATGTTTTCAAATCATAACTATTGAATTTTATTTGTTTTGTAAGTATTTTAGTGGAAGATTTTAAGGTTGATACTTTTCCATCTCTTTAATGTAACCAAACATATCATGAAAACCTTTTGACATATGTCCTTTGCGTTGTCATTCGTTTTATTGACATTTTATGGTACATGTTGTGGAGGATAGTGGAAACAGCTTTTACATCTTATACCCCCTTGAAATGAGTATATTTGAGGTCCTTTTTATAATTGCAAGATTCTAAATCTGTTTGATTTTCTGTGTTAGTTATAATCATAAGATTTCTTTTGGAAATAGAGAGGGGAGAGAGTTGTGATATTTATCTATTCAATAAAGACTTCAATGAATTGTGTAATTCATCTTTAGCTTAGTCAATTTTTTAATCTATATTTCACGGACCAACTTCATTTTGGACATTGCTTTTTAGTTGAAGAGTGAAACATCTCGCCAAAATGATAAAATGCCAAAAATGTTTGATTCCCACTCTTTATTTGTAAAGTGATTTAGCATTAAGAGTGCTGCTCTTCCATTTCATTGAAATGGGTGTCCTCTCTATATATTTGTGAGCTATTTTGTTAAATAGTAATTGTTATAATAGTTAGGGGATGTGAGACAGTTCTGTGATGTATCTGCGTGCTTTGAAGTGGAGTCAATGTTTAGCTGTAGGTCTTATAAAATGTGGTGTAATTTTTTAATACATATTTGTGTTGTGGCAAATTACCCAGCAATAAATTTCTTGTCTTCTGAAGTTCTGGGGTTTCCCTATATCCCTATCACCTACACACCCTAGAGTCCTGTAGGTCCCTGTAGGACTCTAACACACCCCAACCACAATAGAAGGCGGTTGGCGGCAGTCAACCCCCTCCCACTCCACTTGCCACCGGAGTAGTAAACAAACACCTGAACCAAACACTTGTTGACATTTCTTTGCAGTGGCAGATCATTTTAAACAATTTCTTTGTTTAACTACACTTCAATATGAGGAGTCTTATTTACATTGCCTCCACAATTTTGTTGGCATCGGAATGTAAGTTGTATTTACGAAAAACAGCGTGTGGTGATTAGTTGGGTGTGGCAAATTTTTGTTCAATTATCTGGTAGCTTTTTTCATTCAGTGTAGTCTTATTTGTCAATTCGGTCAAACCACAATCGTCTGCTTGATTGTTGTGAACACAGTTTGTCCATATCAAAAATGATCGAAATTTCTCGTTGGAGTATGAGGTTATGGTTTGTCGCTTTGATCTTTGACTGTGTGTAGTCTGTTAATCTCTTATTTCTTAGGTATGGGCCTTGGTATCCTCGGGCTTTATTGCTATAAATGTAACTCCAACCAAGCTGGATGTGGAACACCTTTCAACTGGCTCTGGTATTGGGGAGAACAATGCGAGGAATATGATGACAAATGTGTGAAAATCATTGAACGCAAAGGAGGTGGGTATAATTTAAACCATGTATTGCGGACTAATTTTATTCGTTGGTTTATGTACCTAAAATCTAAACTGCAAACATATGCAATCCCTTATTTTAGCTGAAGAAATTATCACGAGGCAATGTCTGAGTCAGTTACAGCCGTACAGAACTGATATACCAGCAGATCATTATGAGGGATGTCGGCCAGCAGCAAAAGATGTTCGACTTGGACACTATGTCAATAATTCTATCAAGGAGTTAGATATTCACCGGTATGTAGCAAATAAATACAATATTTTGATGTCAGTTCTTACTATAGTCAGTTCATTGCACTATACATTTTTTCCTCACAGAGATCACTATGACAGCACAACTTGGTGTTTCTGCTACTTTGATAATCGATGCAACAGTGCAACGTCCTCTGTGCCATCAATATTGATATTATTTATTAGTTTGGTCGGCCTTTTGCCCTACTTAATCTAAATGTAAAATTTGATGCTATCAAATTTCTTAATCAAGGTACCCATGGATTACTTCCAATGATATTGTTGTTTTTCAAATTTGTGTGTCATTGTACCACAATACCATTTAATTGTTTTTGACCATTGTATTACATATCAATATTTTTCTACTTTTGTTTTCTTGGGGATATTATATGCACTTAGACCCTTTGAAGTTCTATAATTTGTACTTATGATATTACAAAGAAAGGTACTACAAAAATATGTTTGACTCAAATTATCTGCCTTAGACTATGAAACAAAGTAGGTCCAATCCGTCCACTATGCTGTGAAAATATTTGTTCTTTACCTGATATCATAGTATATATATACAAAAATATTTTGAATTGTCTGTCCTGTGTAATTTTAGGCTTTTTAACCTTCCCCTACTTGGGAAAATGTAGTAAACCAGTTAAGTATTAATTTAAGAGAAATGTGACGATTTTTTTGTACTGGTTGTTTTTTTATTTCAATGCTGGTTTTATCTCATTTGTCATCCCTCACAAGAATTGTAATTCATTTGTTCACACACATCTCTTTACTATACTGCGTTAAATCATTCCAGCTAGAGATTTTGTATAGTTTAATAATTGTTTCCATTACATCTAGAGTAGTCATTGTCAAGTCATTGTCCGTCCACTTGCTGTTAGAGTATGTTAATATTCAGATTTCTTTTTGAATATTAATGCCATTGATTCAGTATATAAAACATGCATAACAGAATCCTTTCGTTTCAATCACTTCGACCACTTTCAGTGTTTGTCCTGCCTTTACAAAGCAGAAAGGAAAGAAGGAGTGAGGAGGTAGAGCTTTCTTCTGAACTGCCTTTTACTGATGCAGACCATTATTGTGAGCCCGGCGGGCAGCACAGGCACGTGGCACGTACTCGTGCACAACTCGTGCACATCAAGGCTAGACTTGTTCTCAAAACCACTTAGTAAATCAAATGGGACTACCAGGATTCTTAATCTATTGTGCTTTGAAAATATGGTATTCTAAAAGCAACAAAGTTGAACCATTATAGGGTAATGGGCAATTTTAAGCTTTGAAATTGCTAAAATTAAAGTTGAGTGCAAAATTGGCCTTTTTGGCTCCTAAAAATCCAGACAAGTTGCATACTGAAGCAAAATTGACTCAGAATTCGTGATATTCCACCATTTGTGCGGTAGTTCTAAACATTCTATTTCAAATCGACAAAAAATTGGTTTTTTTTAAACCTTGGTTTTATGTGCAGGTCTCTGCTGGCTGCAACAAGTAGATATGGAAAGGGGATTTAAGATAGGCTGTAAAATGTGCCATTAAAGAAAGTCCTCTTAAGAACCATTAGGCGCTGTATTTGTGAGTTTCTCGATATACAGTGTCTTTCTAAAGTAACATTTCATAAAAGTAAATTAACTAAAAACATGTCCGTAAAAAGATCTTATACTCCATATCACAAAGATTGTGGATTATAACCCACCATTTTCAATAGATTTCTATATCACTGACAACATTAAAACAGATGCACACTTGATGTGGCAAACAGTAACAAGAGGTCTTCGTAAAGATTAAAAAGGATCAATTGATTGCACATAGGTAGCTCTTCAACAGTAAAATGTCTTACTATATAAACTCATGATGAAAAAGGGAAAAAACACCTTACATAGTACAAGTATTGTAATTTCAATCACACTGCGGCCATCTTATTTCGGTGACACAATCCTTAATATTAAAGTTGAATATACTTTGTTATTAACATAAAAAACAGCAGTGCAAAAGAGAAAATAAACTAGGCATGTAGATAGGTAACAGGACCACTCAGACACAACTACAGGTACAACAAAGACAGATTCTATACAAATAAAATACATTAAGTAAGCAAAAAAACAACTTGACAATGGAAGTCAACAATTTTGGCTGTTTTTTTTTTGTTTTGTTTTTTGTAAGACTTGGAAACAAATTATAAAAGTTGAGTAGAAGGAATGAACCAATACTTTGTAAGAGATAATGTGAACACAAATGCAATAGCAGCATAGCCAAGGACTATGCCTACACTACACCCTCAAGAAGTATTAAAGGGCAGAAGATTTGCTCAACACTATACTACAGAACTTGATGGCATAAGGATGACCGCTTTGCTTGATTAACCTTAATATAACTTTTTCCTGGATCATATTTTAAGGGAAATGATGTAGTAAGGTTAACACCAGGCGAATTATAAAATAAAAATAAAAGACAAATGAGAAAACTTAAACAACAAAATATTTCTCAGGTACAGCGGAATTCACACATGGCAAGCAAACACTGCCTTCCAAATGAGGAATTAAAATTGATATTCCAAATTTCTTAAGTCACTACACAAGGTTCAATTACTTCTTCTGTTCATAATATCAGATACTATAGACTAAAGAAGTCAGGTAACATATAAGTTCCTGAAACATGGGTTTATAAAGTGCTGATAAATTCATGAGCCTTTTAAAGACAATAAAGAGTAAAAAAATACTGAAAAACTAAGCAACAGCATAAGAACTTATAGATGTAATCATGATAACTTGAGTTTCATTACATAATTGGAAAGACAAGTAAATTTAATTTTAGACACCCTGAAACATGATAAAAGTGAGTAAAAAAATTAATAAAAAGTTAAAATATCACATCACCAGACCTATGAAAAGGAGGTTCGTTAAGAATGTGCAGACAGCACACCATCTTAGACACTTAAAAGGCACAAAGATCTCATTACCAATCTAATAGCCTCAGTCGTATAACTAATTGTAAGTACACAGAGCAGTGTTGTACTCTAATAGTTTAAGAGCTACCACAATGGTTGCTATGAAATTAAGATTATCACGGCTTGATGTCAGCAGATAATGCAGATAACACCAGTTTCTCCAGATTTTGTTTCCATTCGGACATCAGTAATACATAATACATTATTCAAGTGTTCATTGTTAACATTAAAAGATCTAGTACAATGTTTTGTTTGACTCAAGGCTAAGGCCCCTATATGTAAAAGAAAGCATCTTTTCAAAACAGTTTTGGTAAACTCTTAAATTATATATACAACACCATAGATTGTATAGTATACTGATAATTTCACAGTAACTTCTACACTAGACAGCCAAACGATCATATATCTTCAAATGTACTCTCTGGTAAATATGTGAGGATGAACATGTGAGACCAAGGGATCAGCTGTTGATTATTCTTTTTCCTCCTCTCTTTATAATTACTCAAATTATTCAGCTAATCTACAGAACTCGATCTGCAATAATTACAATAAGAATTGACACCTTACCTGAATGATAAGCAATTACATGTAACATTTAATTTTTTGAGAAACACATTTAGAAACTGATAATTCATTCAATGATAAAAAATATTCTAACCCTGTAAAGGGAGTCAAAGTAAATATAAGAGATTCAAATAATGAACACCTCTTCATTTGAATAGTACATATGCCTGACATCACTGCTTACACAATACAGAGAACAGAACAGTTGTCATGAGAAGCAAAAGTTGAGCACACAAAACATCCAAAGCAGTCTTTCTAATAGGAAAATAATAACTGAGGAAAAAGGCTAAAAATACAAATTTTTAATAGTGGCATGTCTTAAGTTGACTAATATGAATGAAGGCTGTGATGCCTCGGGTAAGATTTTGAGTTCTCTACACTCACTTAACTACAGCTAGGGCCGGTTTCTGATAGAGTAAGATTGCTGGACATTTGTTCTGAGAGATTTCCTTCCCATGGTCCAAGAGCATACAGCTCACTGGAATTCAACTCTAACCGTTCAAGCTCATAAGAAGATACTCCAGAAACAGGTGGAACTGGGTCCACGCTCGAATAAGATTGAGCTCCTCCATTTAATGGATTTGTAGGACCATTAGGGGCTAGTGGATCGTAGTTGGCAGAGGGGTGGTTCCCAGCATACTCAGCAGGGGACAGAGGCACACCCATTGCCACATTGTTCACTGGTTCAACAATACCAGAAAAGGGGCTTTGCACTCCAGGAGCAACTGACATGCCTGAGACACCTGCATGTATCTGCAAGAGATAGAAAAGATTTAAAAAAAATTAGTAGCACATAATTAAAACTGGTGCAGAGATTCGATCACTTTGTTCTACATTTCGCCACCTTGAAACTTACCCCGTCGGGAGAAAAGTGAGGTGCAGTCGTGCAGCTACCTCCACCCAATAAGACACTTCTCACATTAGGGATGGACACGTTGCCTGGGACAGTAGAGACCATGTGCCCTGTGCCAGCATGATGTGCGTAGGGCTGCTGCGAGTAGGCGCCGTACACACCAACACCCATCCCCATTCCATACGGAGACGGCGCCTGATAGTCCCCAGGAGACGGAGTCCGCCCGCCTGGTAATTGCGGACTGTGGATGGGAGTGGGTTGTGGAGATTGCCCGGCACCGGGGTACATTGGGGATAGATTACCTGGTGGGTAGTACATTCCAGGACTGGCATCTAAAATAAAAATAAAAAGACAATTGAAAAATAAGGTGGTTGTCAGAAAATACAAATTAAGGATAAATTGGTTGACTATTCTGGTGGTGGTATGGAGCAGACTTGTCAGAAGAACAAAACAATAAGTTGAGCAGCTTCTTTCATTACCATCATCCACTATCCACCACCTTGGCGAAACCACTCTGCTGATCGCTCCCGAGCTATCTTCTGACGAGTCTTCTCCATTGCACCTCCAAAAAACCTTATTACCTGCTGGTTCTTTTTTGATGGCATGTAAAGTGCCCTCATTTTTCACAGCACGGACGCTATCTGGACTAGCAGCACTGTACCGATATCCTAGAGAGCAGAGCACACGGATTTTCAGTTTTATATGGTAAAATTAAAAGAATTGATTTTTTCGAATGGAATAGAACAGGTATCAATAAAAGCATAAAAGCATTAGCACATGGATTTACTGAAATCAAAATGAGTAGGAGCAGGGCATCACACAACGTGATAGCATAAAGTCCGGAAAGCAGAGGCGAGAGCCATGTAAGCATGGGGAATGTCAAGTGCTGCTAGAGATATGTTATTCTCTTGTAATATAATTTCATGAAATCGTACCTTTATCAAAGCAGTCCGCCACCAAACCCAAAAATACACCATAACCATGAGCAAGTAGGAAGAATTTCAATTAAGTTTTTAACCAACAACCATCTTGTATGGCAGCAACATAACATAACTACTTCAGAACTGTAATAAAATGGGACCAAAGGGGCATGACTAAATCATCTTCATGTAGGATAAAGTAGAATGGTAAGGAAGGAAAGAAAGAAAGAGAAAGAACCTTTTTTTTAAAAAAACAAAACAACAAAAACAAGTTTAATTTATTAAGCAGTAAACAGATGTAACTACATCAGTAGTTTTCCAAACAGAACTAAATGAAAAACATTGAAAGAATTGTAGGACACCAGGTGCTCAAAAGACAAGGCGCAAAGAAGAAGACAAATTTATCCGAATCCTGATGACCTCTAACAAAATTTATAATAAACAAGAACAAGAGAGTAGAGATCGACCAAATACAAAGGTTGTGAAACAACTTCTACACTTTTCAAATTTAAGACTGTAGAAAAGATTCATGAGAGATCTTAATTAGTTCCTGGAGGCTAAGGGTCATTAACCTCACTCACCAGGCTACCGCAATTTTCCATGCAAAATAGAGATGGTAAAATAAAATAATTCAGATACTGCATGATGGCAAGATTTTAGATTTTGTTTAGCCAGACTTCAATCTGCGCCTGACTACGACTGGGTAAATAAATAAACTGCAGGTTCCCTAAGAACAGTTGAGACATAGATCGGCAACACATACATCCAAAGCCCGCATTCAACATGAACATTGTTTATAATGTAACAGCATCAATGAAGAAACATTATGACAATGCTACATATACATAATATAATCCAAGCAAACCAAAGCAATATGCCAAATGTTTTGCGAAGCTTACAGTCCCAGCAAAGTTGCCAAATGTCATCAGACACCACACATAGCAAAGAACAAAAAAAAAAAAGAAATACAGAAAGAAAGAAGAGGGGCGGTATTTCAAGAAACAAAGCAAAAGGAATGCAAGAAATATGAATTCGAAGGGTTGTGACTTTGTGAATTTGGGTGCCAAGTAAAATGTTAAATAAGTACTGGACCAACAGTACAAGTCCTGCTCCAAGGAAAATCAATAAAAATTAAAAATCAAAATATTTTAGAGTACTTCAGAGAAGCTTCAAATGCTAATTAATATCACAACAGCAGCTATTAATGCAATTAAAGTTTGCTAAATAGTTGTAGATTAGATTAGAAAATTGAATCTTTTTTAAAACATTGCACCGCTGGTATATTAAGTTGCAAGTTCTAATGAATACCCAACCCAGTACAGTATGTGAAGATACGAATTTTCCCTAATGGAAGTGAGGGGGCAACAAGGTTCCTTAGATACAAAAAATTGTAAGGCACAGAATGGAAAATTATCTTTAAATTTTGGGTTAGAAAATATTCAAGACTTGAATTTTGAAACAATTTCAAAATAAATGTCACAATTATGTAACAACATTATAATGGATATATTCCTAGGCAATTCATCACAAAATCCTTTAGAATTGCTTCCCAGATATGTAAACCTTTGTGTATATTGAGGAGGATAGCCTGGGTGAACCTAAACCTAGAAGTAAGTGCACCAACTTTCTTTAACTGCAGTAAATAAATGAAGAAGGCCTTAAATTCTGATCAATTAGGGATAAATAGAACCCCAAGAGCATCTGAGTGTTCAAAAACATCATATTCATCATACATGTATAATCAAAACAGTAGCCAACAACCACCCTGATCAATCAAAACAGTCAAAGGCATAATCTTCACTACCCAACTTTCTTTTTTAAAGCAAAACCATGATAAAAACCTCTAACTTCAAGTATGTTTAACAATTACCCTGCAGTGAAAGAGCTAAATTAAATGTATTGTGTTGGGCCTAAACGCTTCCTAACTCACAAGTAAGTGTAACACAAGTGCCATAAGGTTGATTATTGATTTATCCTAAACCTAATCTTAGATAAAATATTAAATGATGTACAAATGTGTTCATATCAGTACATTTTAAGAAGAGCCCCAGCCGGAGTGACCTCCGGAACCTTGGGTGGATCCAAAACGGACACCCACCAAGATCGGCCAAATGTGTGAAAATATAAGTGAAGGACCAGCCTGTTAAAAATTACAAATATTAAATTTCACTATAAACCTATTTTAAAAATATCAAAAGCAGTTCAAGTTTCAGGAACTTTTAAAATATTAGTCTCTACCAATATTTATTGCTTTGTTACAGTTATTGAGGTGTAAAATCTACTACTTTTGTCAGCACCAAGACTTCAATTAATTTTCAACCTATCTTAAGAGATTAGAGAAGGGTGGCCAAAATATACAGCAACTTGTGTTGACACCAATCCTAATACATAATAACCACCACCAACCCAGCACCATGCCGGCACCACAGGAGGCTCATAAACCCTTACAACACCCATGTATGGAGAACTGTACTCACTAGATTTATCATGTTCCTGAAAATGCCTCAATGAGGTAGCACTAGGGTCATCTGCATACTTCTGCCTCTTTCGCTTTAAAACTACAGGATCTAAAATGAAAAAACAAAAAACAAAAAACAAATCAGTTCTTATGAAAAAAAAGTCTTAACACACTACCAATAGATTGTGCAAATAAATAACAAAGGCAAACAAAAAAAAATGTTAGTTAGATCACATCAAAGACACTAAAAAGTTCCAAATGACTAGAAAATGTAACGAGTAGCAGCTCAAAAACTAGCATAAATTCACTGATCAGCCAATGCAGTAAGTTAAGCTAACAATCAACAAAATGATTAGGCACTTAATATTTCTTACCAATCACAATCACAAGTATAAAAAATACCATGCTATGGTAACTAAGGTGTGAATACAAATACAAGGACTGGGCGGATATCAGACTTGTTTAAAATTTGGTTTCACAACATGTGATTGAGGTATCCAATGGTTCTACTAGTACATGTAGGATGTGAAAGGAAGAGTAGATTCTGTCTAAGACAAATGCATTGTGACTAGAGTCTTAGAAGCATTGCTACTGCACAGTGACAAATTTACATGAACTTAGAATTAACATTAAGTAAGTAGGTAATCCTCAAAAATTGTCTCCAATATTTAAGAACCTAAGTCAGATTCATTATCTGGTCCTGAGGTTAATGATTAAATATTAACCCTAAAATAAACAAATACTGAAAGCAAATCCATCCTGCTTGTGAATGTGCGTGCAAACACTTAAATTCAAATTTAACATAACAACAAAAACCTGGTAAGAACGCAGGAGGAAAACAATGCCATTACCAGCCCACTAAACTGTGATTGATTAGTTCAGGGGAAACAAGTGGACCTGTGAGACAGGTACTTTCAAAACTCTTGAAATGACTATTTATGATGGAGTACAAATTGAGTACCCTTGGAGAACACAAAAAACAAGAGAAAAATACAAAAACAATAAATAATAGTGTATAACAAGTCTTCAAGGAATAATAAACAATCAAATGTTACAGTTAAGTCAATCTCATTTTGGCTTGATGACAAGCCACTAAATTTGATTTTCTTATGACACACAATCTCTCCTTGGTACTCACAAATTATCAAATTGTATAAGACAAACAATATGCATGTCTTTTTTGAACAATACAATTATGTAAAACACTATATCACTGATCTAGGGCAAAGGCAGATAAACTGCTCTTTCAGCCCATAATCTCCAACAGATGATATATATTATCAAACCATTCACATTCAGGCAGACAAACCTAATCACTTCCCAGCCTTGACCACATAGTTTGTGTCAAATGTATCCAAATGAACACAACATGAGATGTTTATCAATATTGGGTATACATTGAACAAGATACAAACTAGTCATGTGGGTTAAGTGACATGTTAGTCCAACAAGCAAACCATTTTCAATCTATTTAACCAACTCTTCAGTATTACTTCTCAAACTATGGGAATAATTCCAAGTTCCCACATAACACGTACAAAAGCCTGTCCTCACAATCAATCAATCCACAAACTTTCTCAAACAGTACTGGCCCAGAAGCCAAGACAAACTTCTTTTCAGATTTACATGACTGAAAATGAAGTAATTAACAAATTTAAATCCAAAGGCGATGTCCAGTCAAGTTCAAACGCCTTGGGTGTTCATAGCCATCTTTGCCCTTTCAGGCATCAATATTCTCCCTCCTTCAACAGGACTGTAGTAAGATGACATTTCATCAAATTCGGATACAGTTGCACGAGGGGCCATGTCAGTATACAAATCAAGATGTTCAGCTTCAGTGAGACCGGTTAGAACATCATTTACATCATTTAACAAGATATTATTGTTTTCTTGATCAGCTACAGTCATTGTAGGCTGAGTCATCATAGGCGCATCTCTTTCCAGACTACCACGAAGACTAATAAAAATGCTGTCTTCACCATCAGGAAAACGGGACAAATTACCCATGCTAGCTCCAATATTATTCCTAGCCACAGTTGTCGGGCGTGTAGGACTGCGCATACTGCTTCCCCGAGAAAGGTTCACAACTTTCACATTCTTCTTCTTTTCAGGACTCTTTTTGGAGAAAAGTTTAGAAAAGAAAGTTGCTTTGGGAGATTTGGGCGATTTTATTTCTGGAGGAGGAGGAGGAGGAATGGGCTTGCAAGGAGGTAGGGGAGGAGGAAGGAGCTCATGAGGCGCCCTCTTTGCCCGTTTAGGGGGCAAAGGAGGCACCTTTTCAGGAGACTCCCTTTTAGAAGGGGTACTACACGGTGTATGTAAAAGAACAGGGGTAGATGGAGGGAGAGTGGAAAGAGCCTGCTCATAACTATCCATTAATTCCACAGGATTTTTCATGGCCAACTGTAAGCTTGAATAAGAAGTGTCATCATACATGTCCTGGAAATCATCAATATCCCGCAGGTCTTGCAAATCCATTTTAATTGGACACAAGTCAGTTTCGCCTAGACCCCGACTCTTTGAGTCTGCATAAAATTCATCTAATTCAGCTCCAACCTGTTTAATAAGCTCATTTAAGGCTTGTGTTTCCTCAACCTCATTATTCATCATTCCAGAGATGATAGACATGTTAGTGTTCTCCTCAGAGGGACTTATTTTCTGCCATTTGTGCACCTCTGCATAGTCTGCCTCCTCTACATTTTGACGCATATTTACAATGACATCATTGTTTTGAGTAGTTGGAGCTATGAGTAATTCTGATGTTACAACCATTTGAGCCATCAGTGGCTTGGTTTCCTCAGTCGGCATGTCTGGTGAAGCAATAGGAACTGGCACTTGCTCTGCAGTGCTGATATCAACAACTTCAGGCAATGGCTGTACTGGTACCATTGATAGAGGAGCCATCACACCCGTGCCGCTGAGTGCCAGAGCCGGATCACCACCAAGAATTTGGCTGAAAGCGCTGAAATTTCCTTTCTTCGCCATGGCCTTACGCAAACTCCAGAATGAGGTCCTACCTGAATCTAGGGGTAACATCTGGAAGGGAAGTGGGTCACTTGTAGCACCATCTGACGGTCTTTTCAACTGAATAAAGACATTAACAGGTCCATCAACCTAAAGGGGTGGAAAAAGCCAATTACATTTATGAAATCAAAGAAAAAGTAAATAAACTCAAGGAGATAACAGAAAAATTGTGGATGAAACAAAACCTACCTCAAGCCTTTCGTATCTGGGAGTACGGAAAGAAATGGCAACTTGTTTGTGAACTTGTGATGGTTGAAAATCAGCATAAGCTTCCCACTTCACTTGATTGTCCCTCTCTTCATAAAACCTGATCTGAATATCTTCTGCAATTTAAGATAGAAAAAAAAGAGAGATTTAATTTAAATTGAGAAAGTTCTAGTGTACTGAGAAGGAAGAATTTCATACTCAAAGAAACACAAACCTTTAGCAACCTTTTCACAAAGTAAAATCATCTCTTTTCCACCTCCTACTGAAGCACTTGCTTCACTCAATTTGCAGATCACCAAGTCAGACATTGCTTCTAATATTTACAAAGAAAGAAAAAAACAATCAAATAATTAGTGAGACACATTTCTTTAAAATCACGATGGAGGTTGTTAAAAAAAGGTCAATTTGGTCAATTTACTTTTGTCATAGATTGGTTCAGATACAACAGGAGCTAAAGCTCTTGTGTAAGTATTTGGTTCTGGTCCTTCCAGGAACACTTGGAAACACAGACGTACAGCATTCAAATCTATTCCAGTTGGGTGACCGCGATGAGCAAATCCAGCTAAAACAAAAACAGTTCCAATGTAAATTGTTTGTGAACTTTAATGGCTAATGTTGATACTTTCAAAAGTGTATGGATAAAAACATATACTAACTTCGGAAAGGATCAACTCTTATTTCCTCCCTCACACGCAAGGCATCCTCAATATCTTTCTTCTTGACACATTGAATACCAAGGTTGGAGAATGAAACTATCATGTTGTTGGATGACACATGTTGAGAGAAAACTCCCCTTTTACAACCCTCTTTACCCACAAGATTATGAGGATGTGGCCGGTATGGCGGATCTTTGGTGACGCATGATACTATTACAGCTGCTCTACCTTTGTATCCAACAACCTGCAGGGAGAATGTAAATAATATATATTACATATACGGTACTAAAGGTGTCTCTCTCGTGAAGACTGAAGACCCGAAGTTGTCAACTGTTTTGGTGCAAATAGTTGTAATTATGGCTTATTAGCGCCAAAACAGTTGACAACTACGCGCCTTCAGTCTTCACGAGACTAAATCCACCTTAATATTTGAGAAATGAAAAACAAAGCACATAACAAACAAACAACAATAACAAGCAATCAAAGGGTTACCTGAATAGTAGGATAAGTTTTGTTTTCTGGTGTGCTGTTAACACCTGGTATAGAACCTGCAGATCGTCCCTCACATTCATAACGAAATCTTAATGCTTTGGAAGCAGGTTGTTCCAAAATAACAATGCGAGCAGTTTCGGCTGACAGGCGACGTCTATCGCCAGATTCTGACATGTTGGTTCCAGTGGTATTTACAGCGTGATCCGTATCCATTTGAATTACATCAACTGGGACAAAGATTTCTTATCAACAATTGTTCAAGCTGATTGAGATTGGGTCATTATTGAACAGAACAATGGGATAATGGGACCAACCATATATTAACATGAAAAAACCTGAATACTTACTGACATCACTAATGTGCAAGCTCCCAGCTGTTTGAGCTTCATCCTCCATCCCCGTTACATGCGCCAGCTGATCATCTCCGCCTGTACAAATGCAGGGAAACACAAAGTCAAACATTTTCAATTTGAGAACTAATAAAAGCGTATCCTCAGCTACAGAAAGATGTTAAATACGGTATAGAAAGAAGGAAAAGGAACTGAAGTAACTTTAAAGGTAAGGGATTATTAGGACACATGAAACTATGACAAAAAAAAAAATGAATACAGAAGCAAGAAGCAGAAGAGCTGTGAGAGCTGACAAGGCATAGCAGTGAAAACAAGTAATCAAACAAGAAATAGAGGTGAGAAAATGAAAGTAATAATTAACTTAAATACAAATGCATGACAAAAAGCAATTTTCAGGGTCATAAAACATTAGGACCAATTACTGTTCCGCTAGCTAAGGCCACTAACTGTAAGATATACACTCTTTGAGATTTAACGAGATTCTAGTACTACGGGTAGAAAAAGGTAAATCATGCAGATTTTTTTAAAATTAAGGAATTGACATGCAATTTGTTTTAAATGCTGCAAGACAAATCTCAATGGCATAGCTATACCAACCTAGGTGATCCATTAGGATGGATGGCTGCACCTCAGTTGGATCACCAATAAGTCCAAATCCCTAACAGGACTGGAATTGGAAGAGAAAAACAAAAAATTAACCTACAGGGAATTCTCGTCACCAACCTTAAGAAGATTGGATTAGGAATACTTAAAAGGGGTAAAACATGTACGTTTGACAGACCGCTACCATGCAACACAAACTTATCACCAAACACAGAGGATGGAAATGGTAACATTTAAAGAGGGGTGGGGAAAGCCCATACCACAAAAAAAATCCAGATAGTTGAACTAAATATTAAACAAATTAGCTGTAGTTTATATAGTATTATTTTGACCGCATATTAAAGACAGAGTGACCTAACGAGAATACTGAAAATAACATACACTGCATCATTTTATTGAAGGGAATGAGTGTACAATAAAGTGCATATTAAGAAAGTGAGGACTTGATCATTCCAACACAACAATTCTAGAAATTTGGATCGCATTCAGGATTGTGCTGACATTCGCGATGACACTTACGCACTTGAGGTCTATACGAGGGATCCATAAGCCGTACTAAAAATACAGCCTATTCACGCACATACACACCCAAAAACAATTAAAATGCAGCGCACTTCGTTGGGTGACGGTGGCACTTCAACACAGGTGTAATCCGATATGTACGCCAAGTCACTCCATTTTCGCACTAAATCAAAAACTGGGGAACACAACCGGAGCTACACACACATAATCCAAAGCCAGGCCTACCTCAAACACAGACATGACCGATGCGACTCGGGACCACAACCTAGCCTGTCCCCTGGCCAAAGCACTTCAAGGACCTTCCGTTCCGAACTCACTACCCGAATGAACGACCGATGAAACACGCGCAGGTTCAGGCACCGACACGAAGATACGCGATTCGCAATAAATGCGAGCACGAACACATTTCCTAAGACAATTAATGAATTACGTTGAGCAGCAGCAACGACCGAACTCAGTCTGCTCTCGGTGGAGACTCAGCCAGCAGTGGACGGCGAGAGTATTTTTGGAAAATATGACAATATTTCCCAGAATTGAGCCAGATTCGCACTCCGATTGGTCGAGCGGTTCACGTGATTTGAGGTTCGCGGCACAGCCACTGGTCACTCGAGCGCTACAGTCGCTTTTCGTACAACAAATTTCGGCGCAAAACCCGATAAATCAGCTTGGCATGTCACAGTAGCTGGAGTTAATAAACGGTTTATACAATTTTTAGGTGGTTCGAAGCCTCGAGGGTGCCTGTTACCGCACGGTCACCAGGAGAACGCGAATACGAGTGACGTCAAAACAATGCAGCCGACGCACGGCGGCGCAAGGCGGTGCGCAGGGCGTGGGGGTGGGGCGCCAAGTTCAAGCGCATGCGTGGTGGCGGCCTCGGCGACGAACCGCGAACCGCGACGAACAAGCCGAGGAGTGAGAAAGAGAGAGAGATAGAGAGAAAGGGGGGGAAGAGGGGGTGGGGGCAGCGATAATGATAACGACGACAAAGGTTATTCCAATTTTCCTCATGAGCGTAGCCCCTGTCTTTCGAGGGAGCGGATAAAAAAGCGCGAAATATGGTTCGGGTCGGGTCGGCAACTCTACACCCACGAGCGCCTTTGGCTGCACACTGCCCATTTTCAACGCTGAAACAATCTAAGCGTTCATCTGTTCCCTCGTTTCACTTTTCGAAACAACAATGGGCCTAAATCCTAGTTTGGAGGTGAGCCCCCACGGCCACGAGACCAGCGTCGTTGACGAGTCTGTAGCAGCATGTTCACGGCGGGGCGGGTGAAGAGTTACTACTTGGCGTCTGGAGGCCCCGGCGGTGACAGCCCGGCCGGTCAGCGGGGGCCGCAGGGACCCCTCGGGCTGTGGCAGACGCTGAGGCCGCCATGCGAGCGCCAGGGCCCGCGGCCCAGCACACGTTCAGCACAGGCGCCCCAGAGTCTCGTCGCCAACCTCAAGAAGACCCAGAGCAGCCTCCACGTCCCGCTAGGGGAAGAAGCTCCGGGCGTGCTGGGCACGAGGGCCAGGAAGTCTCGTTCGGTAGGAGACCTGTCGCACTACGCTAAGCACTTCAACAAGTGCAGGTAATGGCGTCCTGGCGTCCCTAGCTCTCTACGAGGATTGTGCTGGTGCGGGTGGTGTCGGATTCCCTAACGGAATAGTGTTGCGGTTTACCCCTACAGACGGGGCGGCCCGCTGCCAATGGACCGCGGCCCGCTGACGGGAGCCCTGGACGGAGCGCAGGCGCAGGGGGCGCCGGGCACCGCAGGGTGCGCCGCAGCCCCCGGGGCCTCCGGGGCACCCGGGGCACTGCGTGCGTGCCTGCTCCTCATGCTCAACGCCTGGCGGGTGCGGCGCGAGGAGGCGCGCGCGCTGCACGGCCGCGTGGACCAGATGAGGCTTCAGGTGCTGATCGCGACCTCCATGCCCTGCAGGCATCTGCATCCCTCTAACATCGTCTTCATACTCCCCGCAGGTGACCACCCTGCGGGCGCTGAACAAGCAGGAGGCGGAGCGGTCATGCCGGGCTCACCAGGACGCCGGCAGGGCGCGGGCGTATGGCGAGGCGCTGAGGCAGCAGCTTGACGCGCTCAGGACTGTACGGCAAGCCTAGCCTGCACGAGGTGCGTTGGGCGTGGGTCTCCGCCGGGGACTACTCGGTCTCAGTGTCCGCCACCTTGGTCCGCAGGAACACGAGCTCGTGGGCGCGGCCAGCGCGGCCCTGGAGGCGCGGGTGTCCGAGGCGCTGACCACCGTGGAGAACCTGCGCAACGAGCTGCGAGCGGCGCGAGAGGAGGCAGCCGCCTTAGACGGCCAGCTCTCCAAGGAGCGCGCCAAGCTGGCGGCCGCCCGCGAGGAGCGGACGCAGCTGCGAGAGCAGGTGCGAACATGTTCGGTCGAAAGTCAAAAGCCGTCAGACAGTTGTGCCCCTGTGGGTCCAGCGCGCCCAGTGGGGAGAGGGGTGACTCCACGTCCGGGTCTAGGAAGTAACGGGTGACGTCATCCGGTGGGGCGGCAGACATGCCCGTATATGGTGTGTCGGCACTCGCCCCCCGCAATCGCACGACCCGAGAAGTTCACAGGCAGCCGGGGGCGGCAGGGGGCGGCCGGGTGGCCAGGGGGAAGGGGGGGACACCTCGCCTCCAGTCCAAGTGGCGCCTTGAGTGGCGCCGCCGACGCCCCCCTCCCAACGCCCATCCCCAAGTCCCCTCCCCATGAGGTAGTCGGGGGTGGGGCTGGCGGCGGTCGCACGTCGGGATGGCTTGGCGCCAGAGACACTCTTGGTCATGATGTGTCACCGGCCATCGGCCTCGGTGTCGGCCTCGGTGTCGGCCTCGGTGTCGGCCTCGGCGTCGGCCTCGGCGTCGG